AAAAAAAAAAGAAATTGGTGTTTCTCATTGGAAATTTTAACATATAACAAAGAAAAGGATCTGACAGTGATAGCCTAAGTATTAATTAACCATATGAGGCTTGCAGGTTGACTCATTTTAATTGACATGTTGGGAATCCCAGGCCTTTGTGAAAATAAATAAAGTGTGTCATGAATGCATATATTTTTATTTATACATAGATGTCTTAAATTAATTTTGTTTTGTGTTATTTTTTAAGCTAAGAGCAGACGGCAATCAAAACCCTACAAACCTAAAAAGATAATTAAGATGGAAGGAAAGATTGTGGTGTACACAGCCTGCAATAATGGAAGTAGTTCTGTTATTTCTAAAGATGGAGAGCTATACATGTTTGGGAAAGATGCCATTTACTCTGACAGTTCAAGTAAGTTCAACTTAAATACATTTCACTTTTATACAAAGAAAGTCCAATACTAGACATTATATTGGAAAGATATGTCTAGGAAATTAACAGTTCTAGCATATTTTCTTTACTTTTTCCACATTTCTTTCAGCGACGGACCATACCTGCCTGTCCACCAAGCTGCGACACACTGTCAGTTCTCAATAAATATATACTGGATAAATGTACAAATTTTAATTGGTGTTAGCCAGCAGGATTTTAGCAAGCAATAGCTAGGCTAAATACTATTTTTAAACTATACAAGAGCCCACTCCCAAATTTTGATTCACTCTGTCAGTTGAGGCCAACTGAGGATCTAAGTATTACCACATTAAGGCAACTCACATATCGCTTGAGTAGAGTTCAACTTAATAATTAATTGCTAGAAATATTCCACACGTCATTTCCCCAGCATGAGACCATCACTTAAACTTCCAATCAGAAATTTTATTCTATTTTTCTTTTTACGAAGAAGTTCACAGGCTTTACATATTCACCTCATATAAAATCCTGCCAAGTGGCTGTCACAATCATACTCATTTCTTAAGGGCTAGAAAGAAAATCTAGCAACCAAATATGACAAATTTTTGCAATTAGAGTTTATAAATATAAAACTCTCTATTTGGCTAGTCCCACCCCACATATCCATTCATTACAGTAACTTTTGGTTTTTCAGTTACTCAGTCACATGGCAAGTAATTCTTAAGACTCTACATGTACAAGACAACTGTGCTGGGAACTGGGGATATAATAGTAAATACAGGAGAGAGAGACTCCTTCCATAACTATCTAAATAGGGAGATAAGTAACTCATCAATGATAAATCAGTTACATTACCAAAATCATTTCCCCAGGGTACTACCAAGAACATGTCATGTGAGCATCTAAATGAGTGTAGGGAAAGCTTTCCAAAGTAGTAGCTAAGGTAGAGCTGCACTGGCCAAGCTCCATGATTAGCCCTGCCTAAAACTACTGGCACTGTTCCCAGCAATAAGACAGGAAGGATTCACAAAATGTTGTATTTGTTTTGAGGGTCTGAGAGACAGTTGGGTATTATGCAACTTAAATATTAGATAAGTGTGGTTTAATGGTTATGGATACGGACCTAGATCCTGGCACTGCCACTTTTTAGTTGGCTAATAGCTAACTTAAATTTTTTAACTTTTCAGAGATTACTTTCACTTTTTTCATCTTCAAAAGGGAGCTAATGACAGCACCTGTTTCATATGGTTGTTATAAGATTATAGGAGATAATGCTTATGAAATGCTAAGCACAGAGCCTAGCATATGCAAGGGCCAAAACATGTCAGCTAGTACTATTAGTAATAATAAGTAATATTGCTAAATATACATATCGTTTTCAAGTATACTAAATACTAAAAATGGAAATTTTTGAGCTAAAAAGACCTAAGTAATATAGGGTGGAAGAGAAAGTCACCTTAGGAAAGTAGTATCTGAGAAAATAATAACATAATATTATAATAATAATAACAGCTTTCCCAAAGTCTGATATAAGAATTATGGTTTTTGTAATTTAAATAAAACAAATACTTGAGTTTTTAACTCTTTAGTATATAGTGGAAATACTCAACAATCTGATTTTTACTGTTGATTACTTGATAAGGTTAAAAATGCTTTAGTCAATTTAAAATTGATGCAAAAAATACTAAGCTTATATGGGTTGAATTTGGATATGGCACATACAATGAAAGTTATATGTGAATAAGTGAGGTTTAGGAGCTGGCTAAACTAGCTAGCTATTGGATTGTGGAAGAAAGCACTGTAGGTTAAAAAGGATTGAAAAATGCTGCTTTGGATCATCTCACAGGTTTCTACAGAAACAGTGTTATTTCAGTATTCCCCAGCAAGTATTTTATTTTGTTTTGCTGAGGCAAGTCAAAGCAGGTTAAGTACATGATTTATAAGCTCCTTTGTTCTTGGACCAGGAAAGTTTCAGAACTAGTGACCCTTCTGAGGGTTGTTGAGAAGTGTTGACATTTAGAGGAAACATTCAGGAGAAGCATTTGTCTGAAGTCTGGATGATAATGTGTTAAGATTTTGAAACTTCCTTACAAACCTACAAAATTAATTTGCTGATACCTGGCCAGTCTTTTGGCCATGTATTTCTCATTTTTGTGGGTTATTTTATCCCAGAAATAAAAAATTCTGTATTGAGGTGGTCCTTTTACAATACTGATGATTTACTAGACTCAGAAAGGTTTTATTGTTGTTTCTTACCAAATTTGTATCTTTCCTACAGGTTTGGTAACAGATTTGAAGGGTCATTTTGTAATTCAGGTAGCTATGGGCAAAGCCCATACTTGTGTTTTAATGAAGAATGGAGAAGTTTGGACATTTGGTGTAAATAATAAAGGACAGTGTGGACGAGACACTGGTGCCATGAACCAGGGGGGGAAAGGTAGGTGTTGGACATGTGGATATTAACTTTGTGGTCTCTTTTCATTAGGTTTTCAGAACAGTGTGGTAAAGAATCTTACTCTTCGAAACAAGTGGCTCTTTAATTTCATACTTATAAATTAGGAAAACCACTGAATTTCTTATTTATTTGGTATTATATCACTGAAACAATCGAGTATACTTTAGACTTTTAATTTTTGAGCAAATGAACTTGAATGTTTTTCTTTCTTTTTAAGTTTGTTTGTTTGTCTATTTATATATGTGTATGTATGTAATACAAGTAATCTCTGCACCCAACATGGGGCTTGTGCTCATGACCCTGAGATCAAGAGTCATATGCTCTTCCAACTGAGCCAGCCAGGCTCCCCTATTTTTCTTAATTTTATATAAAATGTAATAGCACCTCTTTGATTTAGCATTTTGGGTGACTATTCTAGAAAAGTGCATTTTTCAAACTCTTCATTATTAGTTTCTTTTATACCACACATTTTTCGTTTAGTTTTTTTTTTTTTTTTTTTTTTTTAAGTTTACTTATTTTGAGAGAGAAAGCGTGGAAAGGGCAGAGAGAGGGAGAGGGAGAATCCCAAGCAGGCTCCATCAGCAGAGCCTGATGCAGGGCTCGAACCCAAGCAGGGCTATATCATTACCTGAGCCAAAATCAAGAGTTGGACTCTCAACCCACTGAGCCACCCAGGCATCCCTACACATTTTCAGTTTTAGCCATATTTGGCAGCAGTCTGTCTGGCAAATATCATCTTCCTATTTAAGAGCACATGCTACCTGCAATTTAATCAGTTCCTGACAACTGAAAATGATCTTAAGAATATTTGACCCTTTACCAAGAGCTGAATTGTAGATGCACCTTATTCACCATATGCTTTTCCCTAACACAAAGGGTATTGACAGGAAGAAGAGTTTATCCTTTGTCATGCTTGTGGTTTTTTGGTGTTGGTAATGGTTTATGTCTACTTCATTCTTGCTCTCAATGTTTACTTCCAGCTGCTATCAGTGCTATCCTGTACCCTTCATTCCAATTGCTGGTTTTCTGTTTTTAATTTGGTGTGGGCTGAAGAATAGGAAATAAATACATATTATCAGAACCAAGTGTTGAATTGTGTTCAAAGTACAAAAGAGTTTGAGGATTAATATTTGAGGGTTAATATTTGTATGAATTAACATAAACAGGTTTGGGACCTTCTTGATAGCAGACTCATCTGAATATCAAGAGGCCACTATTTTTTTTTACCATATTCATATATGCGTGTTCTTAAAATGCTTTTGTTTTTAAAAAGAGTAAGGCTGTTAGAGCACATTGATTTTTAAATTTTTTTTTCAACGTTTTTATTTATTTTTGGGACAGAGAGAGACAGAGCATGAACGGGGGAGGGGCAGAGAGAGAGGGAGACACAGAATCGGAAACAGGCTCCAAGCTCCCAGCCATCCGCCCAGAGCCTGACGCGGGGCTCGAACTCAAGGACCGCGAGATCGTGACCTGGCTGAAGTCAGACGCTTAACCGACTGCGCCACCCAGGCGCCCCAGAGCACATTGATTTTTAAAAAGGAAGGAAGAACAAAAGAAAGGAATGAAATGGATTACTCCAAAATGGAAATATTTTTCTTCTTGCTAAAATACTGAACCATAGTTTTGGATAATACCTACTAGGCAGAAAGGAGAGAAACAGTTTAGTTTTCTATGTGTAATATAAATATATTTTCAGATTATGTTTTATAAAAGTTTTGAACTAAAAAAAATTATTTCCCTGTTATTCTGAAACTTTTATGAAAATTTGGCATATATTTACACCTATGTTTTAGAGTATTACTGTAAAATTTATAATAACCAAAATAAAATTATTAAAGGCTTTTTTTACTTTGTAAAAAATCACACCTACTCTGCTAGTAAGTATTGAATTAGAAAGCAGACTAGTAGTGTAATACATAAAATGAATACAGATTATATAGTCATAGGGAACATAAAGGGTTTTTATGTATCTTTTTTTAAAAGAAAGGAAAAGTACAGAAAATAAGATTATAATATGAAAAAATTGTGTATCTAGCACCATGCCTTATTTTTCAGTAAGAAAGTTATAGATAAGTGTCCTGTATTCTCCTTCCAAGATTTATTATTATACTCCCTCTTTCTCCAGACCAACCACAATCATAACTTTGATCCTGTCATATTTCTGTATTTTTACTTGTTCTTATATATTTTACATGTAAAATGTGTTACATACTCATGTTTTATATGTAAGATACTTTTATAAGTGCCAATCTATATTTTTCTGCAAATTAGGAGGTTTATTTATTTAGTCTCACCATTGTGTTTGAACTCTGTCCATGTTGGTACATATAAATCTAAATGATTCATGTTAAGTGCTGTGTAATAAACCATACCACTAACATGCCACAGTTTATCCATTCTCCTGCTGGTAGATGAGTTTATTTCTAATTTTTCATTCTTATCAATAATTTCAAAACCTCTTTTATTCATGTCTCCTGGCAAACATCTGAGATTTCTCAAGTGTAATTTCTGGTGTTGTAGATTTCAGCTTTGCTAGATTTTTCTTAAAAGAGTTTGAATCAATTTATACTCTGATTTTCCACATCACCCCTAGAGGTAGTATTAACATTCTGATTTTTGTCAGTTTGATGACTATGACATTCTATTTCATTATTTTTTTTAATTTGTTATATTGAAGTAAAACATACATGCATCAAAATACACATAAGTGAGGATCTTGATGAATTATCACAAACTGAACACATTCATGTAATCGGCACCTTAATCAAGAAATAGTATATTACCAGCACCCAAGGAATCCCCCTTTATGTTCCTCTCCAGTCACCATCTACCTCTCTAGATAACGGCTTAATTTAGTTTTGCATACTTTTGTATTTTATATAAATAGAATTATGTCACATGAACTTTTGTGTCTAGTTTCTTTTCACTCAACTTTGTTTATGAGATTCATTTATATTGTTACAAGCATTTATAGATTGTTCATTTTCATTGTTGTAATCAGTTGTGTGAATGTATACCACAGTTTTGGAATCTTTTTTCATGTTAATGGACATTTGGGTGGTTTCTAGTTTTGGTTTTTATGAATAAGGTTTCTATGAACATTCTAGTGAATGTTGGTGAAATTTGTATGCTTTTAGGCATATAACTATGAGTGGAGTGGCTGGGTCCCTTGTTTTTTTTTTTTTTTTAATTTGCTTTTCCTGATTGTTAGTAGTGTTAGACCATCTCTTCAAACTTCTCATTTTACTTGCCTTCTTAGTGATTTGTGGGAATTTTTTATATATTATATTGCATGTGTTGCACATATCTTTGACTAACTGGCTTAACCTTTGCATTTATTTTAGGTTTCTTTTGTTGTATATAATTTCTAAATTTTGGTGATAAGTTTTTCATTGCTTTTCTATATAAATTTTTTCTTTATATAGTCATGTTGGGGGCCTTTACTTTTAATATGAATTAGAATCAGTTTTTCTACTTGGTATTATGATTGGGATGCTTTGAATTTAGAGATTAATTTGGGGATAATAGTTATAGCATTGTTGGGATGATTAAATGCGTACGTAAACCCAAATGCAAGTAGACCCAAATGCAAGTAAGTGCTTAGTATGTTTTAGCTATCATGATTATTAAAAACAGGCACTCAAGCCTTCAGAGTTGCTTTATTCTAACTCTGTAAGTAGTTGTCCAGTACTTGGCTATTTAATTTCCTAGCCTGTACATAGATTAGAAGTGGCAGAGATTAAAAGAGGCTGTATATTCTACGAGTTTACTTCTTTTTTTTTTTTTTTTTTTTTTTTTTTTTTTTTTTTTTTTTTAACATTTTTTATTTATTTTTGGGACAGAGAGAGACAGAGCATGAACGGGGGAGGGGCAGAGAGAGAGGGAGACACAGAATCGGAAACAGGCTCCAGGCTCTGAGCCATCAGCCCAGAGCCCGACGCGGGGCTCGAACTCACGGACCGCGAGATGGTGACCTGGCTGAAGTCGGACGCTTAACCGACTGCGCCACCCAGGCGCCCCTACGAGTTTACTTCTTGATTAGACAGACCTATACTGAGTCTGTTACAAGTGATAAGAGAGTAAGGTTGACTAAGAATAAGAGATAAAATGAGTAAGGCATAACCTCGTCTTTGACGATCTAAGTCTAATAGGAAAAACAAACATAAAAATACTTTATTCCCATAAATTTACTCTTTTATTACAATCTCTTGTAACACTGTTTGTTTCTTCATAATTCTATCACAGTTGTATATTTACAGTTTTCTTGTATGGTATTTTGATAAAAAGTCTGTCTTTCTCGCTAGATTATAATAGCTCATTATCAGAGTCCTCACTGCCTAGAGCAGAGGTCTGCAAACCATAACCTGATGCTGTGTCTGCTCAGTGGCTTATTTCTGTGTGACTCTTCAAGCTAAGAATGGATTTTACATTTATAAGGAGTTATTTAAAAAAAAAAAATGTGACAGAGACTTGTGTAGCCTACAAAGCCTAAATTTTTTGCAGCGTGGCCCTTTACAAAAAAGTTTGCTGACTCTCATAAAGGAACACTTGGGTCATCCGGAGTAGATGTCTGATCTTTAAAAAGTTGAACAAGGGGCCCCTGAGTGGCTCATTCGGTTCAGGGTCCGACTTCCACTCAGGTCATGATCTCATGGTTTGTGAGTTCGAGCCCCGTGTTGGGCTCTGTGCTGACAGCTTAGAGCCTGGAGCCTGCTTTGGATTCTGTCTGCCTCTCTCTCTGCTCTTTCCCCTGCTTGCGCTCTATCTCTCTCAAAAATAAATAAACATTAAAAACAATTTTTTTTACAGTTGAGTGAATTATAACACAATTCTGTAAGTTGTAATTGAGGCATAAACAGGCTTTGAGGAAATAGTGACTAACTCCCTGCAAAAAGTAGTAAATCCTTTCATGGCAGATGATTTCCGGGCTAAGTTTTATTGAATGCTGAAGAGGAGTTTCTCTGGTAGATGAGGTAGAGCGAGGCATCTGGTAAATGAGGTAGAGAGATACAGATGGAGCAGGAATGAGCAAAGGCCCTGAGCATGTGAAAGGACATAGTATGTTTAGAAAGCAGAGGGAATTTAGGTTCAGACAGAATGTAGTTTGCATGGAAGAAATGAGGTTACAGAAAATTCAAGGGCCATGTTGTGACTAACTGTATCTTGCTGAAGAGTTTTGTTCTTTTAAAGACCATGGAAAAACATTGGAGGTTTGTAAATTGTGAAATCATAGGGTCAAGTATATGTTTTAAGAAGCTGATTACCAGTTGTGGAAGGATATTCTAGAGCGGAGGGACACATGGCTTAGAGCATAGTTGGGAGACTTTCTGTGGTCTGTTGAAGGACAGTGTTGGCAGTGAAGATGGAAAGGAGGGACTAAAATCAGCAAAAGTTAAAAGTGTGATTGGCATAAAGTAACGGCTAAGAGGGGTTCCTGCCTTCCCTCTTTTTGCAAAAAGGAAATGAGGAGAGCATTTATTTGTGGTCCCTAAATTAAATTATATTTTTGTTACTTTCTGTTTGAGCATTCTTTTGTATATTCATTTGGATTAGTATATGTGATGTGTGTTTTTTAAGACAGAATAATCTACATAAAGGTTACAAATTGATCTGTCATGTAGGGTTTGGCGTTGAAAATATGGCAACAGCAATGGATGAAGACCTGGAAGAAGAACTAGATGAGAAAGATGAGAAGTCCATGATGTGCCCTCCAGGCATGCATAAATGGAAGCTGGAACAGTGCATGGTGTGCACTGTCTGCGGAGACTGTACAGGTTATGGAGCCAGTTGTGTCAGTAGTGGGCGTCCAGACAGAGTCCCCGGAGGGTAAGAAAATGATTCATACTCAAAAAGTAAACTATGAGTAGAAAATGTGCAGAACACATTTCTTTTCAGAATTGTTCTGTGTTGTTTCATGAGGGCGTATTGGCATGTACGTGTAATTCTAGTAATTGTTTTCTATTATGATAGTTTCTAATTCAGTGTCATTTACGTTGCTTTTCTTTCTTTCATTCGATTCATTTAAACCATTATTTAAAACAAGTCAAAAGTTTCTTCAAGGCTTGGGCTGTGCCTTAATTTGTATTCTTTTTCTAAGACTGCTTTAATACCATATATCTTTTCATTTTTGTTGAACATGAATCTTTTCTGGATAGAAGTATCAAATATCATGTAAAATATTCAATTAGAGACATAATTTTCATTTAAATTAAATTTATGTTCGCAATTTTGGGTGTTCTAGGAATTGTCACTTCTTTTTTTTTTAAATTTTTTTTTTTTTCAACGTTTTATTTTTTATTTTTGGGATAGAGAGAGACAGAGCATGAACAGGGGAGGGGCAGAGAGAGAGGGAGACACAGAATCGGAAACAGGCTCCAGGCTCTGAGCCATCAGCCCAGAGCCTGACGCGGGGCTCGAACTCCCGGACCGCGAGATCGTGACCTGGCTAAAGTCGGACGCTTAACCGACTGCGCCACCCAGGCGCCCCAGGAATTGTCACTTCTTAAGTTACATTACACCTATTTGTATTTATCCCCTTATACTCTTTTTGGATCTTTTTCCCCCCCAGAATCCTATATTATCATTATTTTAAAGTTAATATGTATGCGAATTTGGCAGAATCAGAATGCAATTTTTCCCTAGAATTTTGGGTCCTATTTTTGTTACCAATATAACATAATGGGGCATTCTTTGTAAGGAAATTAATTATGGTAGATCTTTGTATTATGATAGACCTGATCTTTGTAAGATCAGATTAGTTATGATAATTAGCAGACTTCGGGAAGTGGGGGCAGGGGATCTTGTGAAGAAAAGCCCAGAGCTGGGACAGCCACCCCTGCATCTCTGACCTCCCTCTCTGATACCTCTTTAAGTAGTCAGATACTTCCTCCCACATAATGTCTGCATCTACTATGAGTGTATTTCTAGATTTGTACTTGGCCTAACATAGGAAAATAAATCACATATAACAAGCCTTTATTTTAGGCTGTTGTAATGATTATGATTTTTTAACAATAAATTTTTTTTGGCATTCTCAGCATATGTAAGAACATTTTGGCTCTCTATCAAAGAATACTGTTTCTTCTACAAAGCTATATGTTTGGCTCTGTTTGCTATATTTAAGTCTCTAATTGTTTATTTTTAATATAATTTGGATACAGAAAGAGTCTATGATTTTTTTTTAAATAGTATTGGAGTTGAAATGTGTCCTCCTGCATCTTTCCCAAGCTATTTCCATTAAAATCAAGTGTCCCCAATCTCTGAACATGAGCTGTTGATAAGTATCATAAATGAATTTCTGGATTCTCTGATCTTTCCTGAAATTAGTTATTATTCTTTATGTGCTTTTCCCCAGAGATTTACTATCAGTTTCCAATAATTTATAGACCTAAATGGACAGTACCTAACCAAATACAATAGTTTCTTTATTAATGAGGCAGAAATGAATAAATGAAATAAAATCACTATAGGACTATATGCCAGGACACTCTGCACCATTAAAAATGACTTCAAATTATTATAAAATTGTGACTGTATATCTTAGAATAAATTTAGAATGCCACATTATCTTTGAAACAGTTCCCACAGACAATTCTGTAGGGCATACTGGTTCATCAGTTTTTACTCCAATGGTTAGTGATCCTCCAAAATGTCGGTACTGCTTGCATTTTAAACCCAGGAGTTTCACAGGGCTGTGTCTTTCAAAACTGCTGCCAGGTAGATCCTTTCTCTTGTACCACCACAAATCTGGATAACCACAGGCTTAGTGAAGCCGTCTAAAGGTTTTCAGTTCCAGTCCAACAAATAACATGAAAGCTATGACTTCTACATCTATGAAATATGTGACTAAGAAGTTAGTTGTTCACTGACCCTGTAGCCAACTTCTGGGAGTGTTCTAGTCTTCCTTGTGTGGTAATCAAATGTCATACACTTAGTTCAAAACTGATAAGAAAAAAGACAAAGAAGAAGGAAAAAAACAGGTAATTGGACACAGTAAGAGGAGAGAATGAGAGATGATGGCATATAAAGAAGGGAGGGAAAAGGAGACGTAATGTATGAAGCTGGCAAGCTGGGTTCACTTATTGATGGCTATCCACACATTCCTTAAGTTAGTTGATGGAGAATAGTGTTGTTTGGTAACCAACTAACTCATCCAGACCATTTAATAGTAAACTGCTGGTGCTTTACTAATTGTGATAACTTTTAAAAATATTTGTTAATAGTGGTTTTGAAGATAGCAGAATCCATTTGTATTTTCTGTAGGAAGATACCAGTTATACCCATGAGGAGCTTAATAAACTCTTGGGTTTGTTTTTTTTTTTTTAACTTTATTTATTTATTTTGAGAGGGAGAGAAAGAGCATGTGAGAGTACGAGAGAGGCAGAGAGAAAGGGAGAGAGCGAGAATCCCAAGCAGGCTCCACACTGTCAGCACAAAGCCTGACCTAGGGCTCGAACTCACAAACCGTGAGATGATGACCTGAGCCGAAACCAAGAGTTAGACATTTAACTGGCTGAACTACCCTGGCACCCCTAAATCTTGTTTTTTGTTATTCCGTCTATTTATACCTATTCAGTTCTTTAAAATTGGCACATCCTGATCTGAAGGAGTGATTTCATTGCTGACTCAAGTAACTTAATTTCAAAAACGCAGAAAAGATGGTTCTAGAAAAGAGTTTTAAGGAAAGAGTAGAAGGATTTCAGGTACTTTTTTTCTTTTTTTAAAGGATCTGTGGTTGTGGTTCCGGAGAATCTGGCTGTGCTGTGTGTGGGTGTTGCAAGGCATGTGCAAGAGAGTTGGATGGTCAGGAGGCAAGACAAAGAGGAATTCTTGATGCTGTGAAAGAAATGATACCTTTAGATCTTCTGTTAGGTAATTTGATGGATTGTGCTATACATCTTGTCCTATATCTTGTACTATACATCAGTTTAGTAATTAAACAATTTATATTAGTATATGTTAAAAAATTAATAGTTAACTATTCAGTACTGCTTGTATGGTAACTGACAATATGTCATTAATTAAAGGATAAGGTTCTTTTCCTCTTTTTTTGCTAAGATTCTTCGAGTAAAAATAATTTGTGTTTTCATTGGTGTTTTGTTAGCTTTTACTTTCTTGAATTTCGCATAGTTCTCTCATAATTATTATTGTATCTGTCTATATGTGTTTTTTTGTTTTGTTTTGTTTTTGTTTGGTAAATCATCTAGCTGTCCCAGTGCCTGGGGTTAACATTGAAGAACACCTTCAGTTACGACAAGAAGAAAAAAGGCAGCGTGTAATCAGGAGACACAGATTAGAGGAAGGAAGAGGTAAGATGGAGCTGCATCAATTTTCTTACCCTATCCTGAGACCACTGAAAAGTTTATAGTAACTCATGAAAATAGTACAAAAAATATTCAGGGTATTTAAAGTTGTGCTAATCAATAGAGCATTTATTTATAGAGTAAGACAACCATATTAAGAATTGTGCCATCTGTCTTTAGCAATGGCAACTTTAAAAAAAATATATGAACTTTAAAAACTGATGTTTTACCCAGAGTTTGGACTCATGGTTGTTATTTAACCATGAACAACAAATTAACTTAATAATAGTATTTTAGTTTCTGTTTTCTTAGTTGTCTATGATCATTATCATTTGAGCATGTTCCCAACATTCTTCTTTCAATCCAGTGCATTATTATGCTTATGTATGTCTTTTTTGAAAAAATCTTATTCTAGTTATGAACAAGAAGGGTAAATTGGAGAGTTTGCAGGTTTTAATTGGAAAGATAGATCTATTGTTTCTCTTTTCCTCATTGTTTATGACCAGTTCGCAGGCCTGAAAATACATTTCACTGTGGTTATAATAGATATTTTAGTATACATTCAACAAGCAGAGATAAATATAAATATCACTAGAGCTGTTGTTGCCCAGTAGAATCTTTTCTTTGTAGGATTGAGACAGATGGTTACAGAGATCTGTGATTTTATTCCTCTGCTGGACAAAATCTTGATTGGAAATATTTACTGATATTGTGTATTTTAAATGCTTATTAGAAATGACATGATTTGATACATGAGATAAAACCAATTATCCATTTAACCGCCATTACAGATTTTTTTTCTAGGCACTTTTTTTTAATGTAAAATGGAGAAAGTCATAAAATATGTATATATATAGCACACATGTATAAATTTTATTTTTATTAAACTTAAGTTGTAAAACATACTTGGAACTTGAAGATTGTTCATTATATCTGATCTGATAAACAATATTGATTAGTTGACACAGGAATATTTGGTGTTTGGCCGTGTTTATATAAAATCATTACTTTCAAAGCAATTTATGTTAATAAGAATGTATATACTGGCATTATTTACAGTATATAAATATTTGGGAAATTACATATTAAATGTTTTATAGAAAATAGGGTAAAATTTAAGTTGTAGGTCTTTATGACATAGTAATTGAGTGCTAATTTCTTTTATGTTAGTTATATGGTTTGTTTAAGGATAATTATCACTGCATCTTTTTACAACCTGCTTTGTGTTTTTTGGGAAATATTAGCTTGAATCCATATGACTTGACCTACAAAACCCAGCAATTTCCTACGTATCAACCAAAGTATAGCAAATTAACACAAAAGTATTGTGATAATTTTCTCCTTCTGTAAAACTATTTTTCTCTAGCTAGTGTATCTCTGCATAATAGAAGTAAAAGAACACTGATTATGCATTAGTTCAACAAAATTTTGTGATTGCAGAATGTTCTTTTGCCATTTATTTATTTTTTAAAGTTTATTATTTATTTTGAGAGAGAGAAAGAGAGAGAGCACCAGCAGGGGAGAGGCAGAGAGAGAGAGAGTGTGAGAGAGAATCCCAAGCAGGCTCTGCACTATCATCTCGGAGCCCGACATGGGGCTCAAACTCACAATCCCTGAGATCATGACCTGAGCCGAAATCAAGAGTTAGACACTTAACCAACTGAGCCACCCAGGTGCCCCCTGCCGTTTATTTTAAGATGTGTCATAGACCTTAAAAACATAAATTCTAATCTTTTAAAGGTTTAAAAACTCCATTATTTAGATATTTACAGGAATTATATTACTGTGTTTGATTTTACAAACACAGATTTATGTTATAGGCAGTTCATGTATCTTTTCTGACAATTCCATTTCGTCTGCAGTCCTCAGTATATAGAAAGACTTCTTCAGATTATTGGTGCACAAAAAGTTTGTTTTTATTTTTTGGATGGATGAGCTCTTTTCTTACACATACGATCTTCTTTTATTTCTGTTAAAATGCAATATATAGTAAATATCTTTTCTTGATGGGTTAGGATCTTCATTATGGACCTTAATTATGGCATTCATTGCCTTACATGCTACTGAAATTTGTGCATATTCATGTCCTTGCTTTGCACAGTCACCATGGTTACTATGGAATCATGCAGTAAGGACATAGTTACAATCCACATGTGTTTCATTTAACACAGTACAGTGCAGAGAGAAGCATGCTTAGAAATTTTATTTTGTAAAAACACTTTTAAATAAGAATTTCAACTTTGTACCCCCTTTTTAAAAGTCAGACTTCAGGGGAACTTGAGTGGCTTAGTCAGTTGAGTGTCCAGCTCTTGATTTCAGCTCAGGTCGTGATCTCATGGTCGTGAGTTGGAGTCCTGCATGGGGCTCTGCGCTGAGCGTGGAGTCTGCTTAAGATTCTCTCCCTCTCTCTCTCTCCCCTCCCCTGCACCCGTGGTCTCTCTCTCTCTCAAAAAGTAAAAATAAAAAGTCAAACTTCAGTTTCATATTCAATGATTTTAGAAAATTCGTATACCATATTAAATAATTTAAAATCAGTATGTTGATATGATACTTTTATATTATCTTTATATTCTTTCCCAGCATATCATTATAAGAAATTTTATAGGAAAGACAAATTTTTATAAGAAAACAAAATATACACAGAAATATACCCACACTTGCATAGGAAAAAAGCTAGAAAGGTAAATACCAAAATGTTAGTAGTGTTTTAGTTCCTGAAAAGTAAGTTTACAGGTGATTTTGTATTTTGTTCTTTACAGTGTTTTTTAAATAATCTAAGAGTTATGTTTTAAAACTTAGGCCATTGTTTCTTAAAAAAATAATAAAGACTAGTTCTAAGTCATTTAAATGTTACCTTTGCTTTTTAAAAAATATTTTTATTTTAATTGGATAGAGCAATCCCTTTCAGGTACTGTGCTGTTTTCATTATGTTAGGGCAGTGGTTCTCAAAGTGTCTCAAAGGGACCAGCATCACTGGGCACTTATTACAATAGCCTGTTCTCAAACCCACGTCAGACCTACTGAATCAGAAATTCAGGGAGCAGAGCCCAGCAAACTGTTTGAACAAGCTTACCAGGTAATTCTGTGTGTGCTAAAGTGTGAGAACTGCTCCAGGGACCTTCTACATCAGAATACCTGGGCCTGGGTCACAATTTCTGCATTCTGCTTAAGGAGCTACAGAGAATAGTTTGTCTTGTTTTGTCTTCACAAGGAGGAGGAATGCCAAATAAATTTTTAGTGTTCCAACTGCCACACATACCTGTGGGGTTTTTTTCCTTAGCCTTTGCTTAGTACTTTTTAGATACTAACAGTTTAGTGATATTAGTAATTATACTCATTAGTAATTGTCTTTTACTTGTGTTGAAATTTCAGAACTTCAGGATTAGATTATAATGAATTATTTTACTTGATTCATCTGTCCCATCCTATTTATCAAGTTTGTGTTATTTCAAAGTTGATCAGAATTTTAGAACCTAGTTCTTACATTAAAACTTGGCTCAGGGGCGCCTGGTTGGCTCAGTCGGTTAAGCATCCGACTTCAGCTCAGGTCATGATCTCGCGGGTTCAAGAGTTCAGGGCCTCAGTGCCTGGCCTCCTGTGCTGACAGCTTGGAGCCTGAAGCCTGTTTTCACCGCAGTTTCTTGCCCCTCCCCCGCTCAGGCTCTGTCTCTGTCTCAGAAGTAAATAAACACTAAAAAAAAAAAAAACTAAAACATAAACAAAAAAACTTGGCTCAGACTAGCCTATTGAGCGATGTAAGCACTTTTAGTTGCCATTATAACATAGTCTTCTATAACTGAATACAAAGATAGAAAACCTGAAAGAGCAGCGTTATTACTGCATCTTTATTATTTTAGAACTTTGTCTTTATATTTTTTATATTATTCTTTTAGATGATATTTTTCTTAAATGTATTATTCTTAGGTACCAGTATATTCATTTGCTTTTGTTTCAGTGACATTTGTGACAATTTTTTTTTATTTTTTTAACTTTTTTTTTTTTTTTTTACTATTTTTGGGACAGAGACAGAGTACGGGAGGGGCAGAGAGAGGGAGACAGAATCGAAAGAGGTCTGGGCTCCTCCCAGCCATCAGCCCAGAGTTGATCGCTAGGGCTCAAACTCAGACCATGGATCGCGGTGGACTTGCTGAAGTCGGACGCTCAACCGACTACGCCACCCAGGCGCCCCATTTGTGACAATTTTTAAAGCTTTTTAGTTTATACAGGGTTGATTGATAATTTAAATTTTCTGAGTCTTATTTTAACTTTATAGGTGAGATGCTCGTCCATGGAATTTTTAAGTAGAACTCTAATTCATCAGAAGAACTACTGGGTGGTTGTGTCAGTGATCTTATCTTTATATTCCTTCTCAGTGCTCTATTGTAGGGAAAACTAAGCTCAAATAATGTTGGATATTTTTCCTTCTTTCTTCTCCCCTAAATGTCATCAAACTTTCAAAATTGTGAGCTGTAGATGGGGTGAGCTTATGTCCTGGCTTGCCTGGCAGTCCCATTTTGTGCTGACTGTCTAGGCCCTGTTAACTCTCAGTAGAGTTTCACTTTGATAACGGGTTATGTGGTTAGCAAGGCTGTATAGCATGGCAGTTCAGAGTATACATTCTGATGTTAGGCTTTGGTTCAGATCCTGGCTTCTTAAGTTTTGCTGGGGATAGATAACCCTGGAGTTTAATCACTCTGAACCTTCACTTCCTTACCTTTAAAATGAGGGTGACAACTGTACATACCTGAGTAGGGATGTTAATGAAGATTAAATGATATACATGAAAATACCTTACATAGACTAAGCCCAAAGTAAGTGTTTGATAATGATGATAATGGTAATGATAATGATGATGCTAGTGGAGTTGGGCTATTTAGTGGACTTGTATTTTCTTTGGATTTGATTCTTTTTGCCCTGGCCTTGACTTGATTGCTTTTCTCACGACATTGGGATGCTAATCACAAAACTTTGGTTATTATTAACAAAACCCCCACAGCTTCTGTAGAATAAAACAGATTCCATTTTGATAAGGAAGAAAAATTAGTTTGTTATAGTTACAAGTTGGAATGTAAAAACAATTCTATTATAGTTAGTCTAATTTCAGAGTAATTGAGTTGGGGTTGCTATTGATTTTTAAGCCCCTAAAACTATTAAGTTTTCTGATTTGACATATTAAATCCAATATTAGCTGATCTTTCAATGTTATATGAAAGCCCCTTTTTAAATTAAAATGTATAAAGCCTCTCTCTTTACTCCTTTTTTCTGTTCCCTACCCCCATTTCCCCCCCACATCTATGAACCTTTGTAGTAGTACTACTACTACCTTTATTAGGTGTCAGCTTATGCATAATTTTCTTGTACCCTGAAACTCCCTGCATGCGCATCCTTAAGGTTTGCTGGCTACCCCCTTCAGTGTGCTTAATTTTGTCATAGCACACGGTCATAATTTCTTCTTGAGCTGAGCATAAACTCTTACCTGCTTAAAGCAGAGATAGTATCTTGTTTTTCCAAGAGTTCCCAGGACTTAGTGTGGTGCATGAAATTGTTCAGTACTAGTATGTCTTTGTTGACTAATTGAAAACATTTCAGGGAGTTCTCATCACCTTTACAATAAAGTTTCATGGTAGAAAAAGACTTTAATTATTATATGTATCTCCAAACTCATTTCCCACCATTTTCTGCTTCATAACTCTATATTCCATCCATTTCAGCTAGGTGTGTTTTTAATGACTGTATAATATTGTTTAATCTCTGAATGCTTTTACAAATCCTGTTTCTTTTGCCTGAAATGTCCTCTCTTCCTTCTCTCTTGGCAAACTTTTTCTCATTCTTTCATCCAAGTTGAGTGATCACTTTTCATCCTTCAGGATGTGTATGGATTTCCTTTATCAAACATATTCTTCGTTTTTATTTCTTTCTTCCCTAATGGACTGAATTCTGAGATCTCTTTGTCATGATATTCATGATACATGATACCTGGTATCTATTACATTAAAGATAAAAAAATGGCAAATAAGTGAATGACTGAACTATGGTTATACAAAAAATTATTTTAGTCCATGGGACATAAGAGTATTTTAGAACCTGGCAGTCTGGTATTATAAACAGTGATTTAAATTGAGCTCAAATGGTATACTTTCTGGTGTGATTGCCCGTGAGCCTTCTAAATTTTTATATGAAAAGATTCTAAAAAGATTGAATTTAGTGAGAAGCTCAAAAACTATGAATATTATGAATGTAATATTTTTATGGGAAGACAAATATCCCAAGCAAATCATAGAATTCAAAAAAAGGTAATATAACTTAATATTACTGTTATTTTGATATTTATAATTCATTTGGGTAGTTGGAAAGTGTGTTAATGCTTTTTAGAGTGATTTATATTCTTTGCTTTAGTAAATTAATTGAAAATGAATGCTTGTTGAAGAAATAAGACATTTTGTTCATATTTGTATAATCTTAGCTTGAAAATAATTGCTACTGCATTACTAGAAAATAATATTTAATTTTTCTATTAACTTTAAATTAGCATATTTCTACCTATAGTGATCATAGAATATGTTATTCTTGGTTTTTCATAGAATTGGTGCTGCTTGCATTTTTATCTGTATCTTGAGACATAATTAAAATTTATTTTTCCTACCCATTTTTTAATATTTGATGAAGGGTGCTTTGGTGTCAAATTTTATAATAGGGCAATAGTTTTATGTTGTTCCGTTGCTAGAAAAAATAATTATAGCTGAAGAGATACAGAGAATCAAGAAAAAACTGGCTTTAATTAAAAACATTCAGTGCTTATATACTGTCAGTTCCTTTTTCATATACTGGTAACTTCTTAACGGTCAAATGTAGAGTATTTTGGAATTTGCAGGCATTTTTGATGTTGCTCAAACTCAAAGAATGTGTAGTTCTATAAGAACTAAAATTTTAAGATATAATTTAAAGTTTTCCATTCTTTTCAAGGTAATGATAATAAGGAAAAACAAATTTTAAATTTTATTAAAATTAATTTTGCTATTGGTTATTTTCTTGGATATAAGTGGAAATAACTATAATCTGTATGAATGTGCATTTGTATATGTGTATTTGTGTACATAGTGGAACTTCAGAAAGAAATTACTTTATCAGAGAATGGTTAGTGTTCCAAAATGTTACTTGGGTTAGCTTCCCCTCTTCAGCATCAATGTGAAGCTCAGCTTATCCTTGTTTCTGATTTTGTGTATGTGGTTAACAGAAGTCACATATAGTTAGATTTATTCTTTTTAGAAGATTATATATATCTTCTATAATGCTGACTTCATAAAGTAGTGATTTTATACACACACACACACACACACACACACACGCACGCACACACAAATGTGTGTCCGTATGTGTATATGTACATATCAGATCATACTAATTTTTGGTTTGGTTTTGTTTTTTGCTTTCGTGATTTCTTACCTCTATGACAGAATGTATTAAGTCGATAACATTTTTCTTGGTTTTGTAGGAAGACTGATGTGGATTTTAAATCTTGAAGACTGTTAAAATTTAATCTTTTAAAAATTAGTTGGCTTTGTATTTTAATTGGAGAAATGTTTGTTTTCAATGAATGTTTGGTTTACTAAGTTTGAATATATATGATATTAAAAGTATTTATAAGATAATTTGATTTATTAATTGAACTTTCTGATTATATACTTGAGACTTAGGAGCTACATGATACTTTTATGAATATAAAAGATAGAAATTATACTTTATCAACTGTATTTCAGATGTTAAAACTTGTCTGTGGAATGGTGAATAGGTTATTATTGGGGGTGGAGGAAGTTAACGTGGGGGAATTGGGAGACAAGTATAATGTCTAAAACAGTAAAGAATAAATTTCCATACTTTTACTTTGAATTATTTTTGTTCATTGTAGTGTTTTCATTTTGTGAGCTTTTCTATGCACATACAAAATGTTTCTCCTCAGGCCCCCTTGTATTTGCTGGTCCTATTTTTATGAACCATCGAGAACAGGCTCTAGCCAGACTCAGATCCCATCCAGCTCAGCTAAAGCATAAACGGGACAAGCACAAAGGTATTTGGTCTTCCTTATCAATTAGGTGGGATACTTCCCCCGTTTCCTCCACTCATTTGAATTTTGTCTCTGGGAAAATGCACAAACCTAATTCTTCTACTTTGCTTCTATCATTATATAGCCTGAGGAGAAAGAACATGCTGAAAGTTGTACTGTTTGTCAATGACTGTCAATCTTATTTCTTTTTATTTGTTAACTTTAATAAAGAAGACATTTTATGGTGTATCTTTTTCTTTCCCATTTCTTTTCCAATTTCATAAAGTTAAGGGAAAGTGGAAAAATAATGATTTCTTTCTATTTTTTATCCTTTATTATCTGCTCTTAGATGACTGCTATCTGACATTTTATAGTCCTTTTCTTAAAAATGCAGTGTGCTTTAGAATTAACAAAATTACTAAATTCAGTGTATAAAGTGATAGAGTTGACTGCTATTAAGCTTTTCCATTGTTTTAACATTAAAGTTTATATTCACAATGCACACAAAAATGGTGATACATGTAAGCAAAGGCTGAGTTATGTAGGCCTGTTCTAGTCCTTGAAAACTATCAGAAATCTAATAAACAAGTCTGTGAGTGACTAGGAATCTATTTCTGTGTAATTCTTTGAGCGCTCATCATTCTGCATTAATTAGAAATATTTTTTTAAAAGCTTATTTTTGTTTAAACTACAGCTATGGGTCTTTTAAACTACAAGGTCAGGAAAGAATTTAATGCAGAGAGTTTATAAATTTATATATAAATTCTGCCTTGAATCATGGCATGTGACAAGTATAACTAATAGTTGCTGTTTTCTTAAATGCCCAAGATATACCCTGCAAAATAGAAGAGAAAGTTTTAAAAACATGCGATCCATATAGACAAATTACTCTGTTTTGTGTCTTGTTTTTTCCTTTGCTACAAAACAATTATAGACTAATTTTATTTTTAAACTTTCACATGCAATATATTATAATTCACTTTATTTACATTTGCCTCTCTTGGTTTATCAGTTTGCCACTCAAAGCAAAACCACCAAACAAAATAAACAAAACCCCTGTTGTTAGCCAAAGCACAGGTAGAGCACTATTTAAGATACATTCTACAGAAACTAAAATTGAGAATATTTTAAATCTAATGTGATTAACCATAGTAAAATTTGTGATTGTTTTATTTACTGAGTGCTCTAATAATGCCATAAATATTTACATCAATGGAACGCTATTTACCATGTACTTACTATGTAAACTATCTTATTGCCAGAGTCTCTGATCTCATATTTTATACTACACCACTATTGGAATGGATTTTCTCCGTGTCTTTTTTTTTTTTTTAACCCCCAGTTGTTGGAAAGTGCAATTTTTCCAGCACTTTACCTGAAGTTAAATGTTCACATTTCATGAAACAGTTTAAAACTTTTTCAGCTCCATGTTGCTATCTTATGGCCAAACATCTTTATTTTGCAGAATTTGAAGATGAAATGCCAAATGAAGACTAGGGTTACAAATTCAAAACAGACTTATTCAATGTCTCATTGATTAACTATACAAATTACTCAACAATAGTTCCATCTTAACTGCTGCAGGTTTATTTTATAACCAGACTGCATATTTGTAGCAACCTCTTCAGAAGGATCTACTTGTAGTATTACAGTATACAGCCAGTTGTGTGTATGCATATATGTTTTTTTATCAGGTTTTATGGTTTTATAACTGAAACAGTTTCATCTCTTTACCACCAAAATGAATTTAAAGTGTAAGTAAGTAATATCAAATGGTGCTGTTTTATGTAGAGTATTGATTTACCACTGACTAATTCCTGTACACCCACAAATTCTCCCTTCCTTTGTCCCATTAGTCCCACTGTCCCTGTCATTTAATCACCTCACCATACACTGCTTTTACTCTTGCTATATAGAACCACAGTCACAGTCTTTTAATATGTATATTTTTCTCTTTTTCCTTACCCTGTTTGTCTTCCACAGAGAAATTCACTATATTAATTGCTGTGTCCTAGCTTACCTTTAAATACATTGGTGGTACAAACTATAGGATGGTAATAGGTAAAATTGCCTAGACTATGACTTTTTTATGGGCGTGTGGAGGTTAACAACTGTGGATTCATTGTTAACAGGAATGAGTTCTAAGATGGAAAGTTGGAGAGCTTCTGCCTGATTGAAAGGAATTCAGAGAAGGTTACAGAATCCATCCTGTTCCAGGGAAATTTTGATTAGAGTCAAACTAGAGTATATGAGGCTTGTTATATGTTAGTAAGTCTAACATATGATCCATAAAACAGAGTAATTTGTTTCCATATGATCATATTTCAAACAGATACCTGGATTAACATTTGTTTCAGCTCTTTAGTCCCTTACGTAGAAAAACATTGTTTTGTAGTACTCCTAGTTAGGAACATCTGAATTATTCTGGAGATCAGTCTTGAAATCTGGCTTGAAGTGACCAATGTGAAAATCCAAAGGCTCGCTGATAAACATCTGTGTGTATTTTACACCTATTTTCTGTTTAGAAAGGCATGGTATAACCCTTGTAACTTTTGAATCAGGCCTCAGTTTTAATCCCAGATTTGTCATTAATTAGGATATATGGCTGTTCATAAATTTTATAATCGCTTTGGCTTTAGTTTTCCTTATTTAAAAATAGGATTGATAATTCCTGATTTTATATACGTTTGTATATACATATATATTCCTTGCCATTAGAAATCCTCCATGAATACTAGCTTTAATTCTTTGAATTGAATTCTTTGCTTTCTCTTTTAGAATTATCCAAAAGGCGCAGATTTGAGATTTGTTAATTATGTAATTAATTAGTTGATTTTTAAATTTTTTTTTTCAACGTTTTTATTTATTTTTGGGACAGAGAGAGACAGAGCATGAACGGGGGAGGGGCAGAGAGAGAGGGAGACACAGAATCGGAAACAGGCTCCAGGCTCCGAGCCATCAGCCCAGAGCCCGACGCAGGGCTCGAACTCGCGGACCGCGAGATCGTGACCTGGCTGAAGTCGGACGCTCAACCGACTGTGCCACCCAGGCGCCCCAATTAGTTGATTTTTATAAAAGATTGAAGATGTCAGCCATTTGGTGGTGGTAAAACACATGAGCCTTATTTTCGATCAAACTCCAAAACTGCTCTACTGTTTATTACTTTTGATTGGTTACTTAACCCTTCTAAGCCTTGGTTTTCCCAGCTGTAAAGTGGAGTGACAATACGGATATCATTGGATTATTGTATTGATTTTTAAAAAGCAACAATAGTAAATATTGATTGAGCACTTTTTATATATTATTTCACTTAATCCTCATAAGGACCTTGTGAGGTAATGTATCATTATTGCTTTTTTATAGATGGGAAAGCTAAGACTTAAAGAAGGCCCAGTGTCCTGTTGTCCTCATACTAGCAAATAGTACAGCCAGGATTCCAGTCGAAGTCTCTTAGGCTTCAGTGCCCAAAAGTACTTCTCCACTGTGCTATTTAAATTTTCAGTGTTTAAGCACAGAGCAAGTGGATAGCAAATTGTAGTTGATAACTGCTTTGATGTTTAATTTTAGTGATTTTGCTCAAAGTACTCACAGTATTCTGTGATACATTTTGTGATATGCATGGCTCTAAGATTACCCAAAAAAGTGGAGATTAAATAAAGATTAAAATTAAGAGTTAAAGTCCTTTAATTCCTGAATCTCCTTTTCTCTATGTATGTGCACAAATATGCGTAAATAGTGTAGAGTGTGTGTGTGTGTGTGTGTGTGTGTATACATATATATGTATATATATATATTACTTTAGATACATACCTGTCCAAACTTTATAGCTATTATAGTTTCAATATCACATATCTATGAACACACTCATATTAGGGGAAAATGCAGATATGCTTCTACCTAAATGGCCAATTATAAGAATATTCAGACCTAATTATTTTTCCTACAAATGTGAGATTAATTTTATTGCTGCTTATTAACACTTTACTAAATAAGGAGCTTGAGCAGAATTAATCTTGCTGAATTTCACTTGCTGATTCTTGAATTGACACTGAATTTTTGGCTACTCATCAGGTACCTTTTTTTTCTTTGATAACCTATAAATTTCTAAATTATTAGAAGCATATTTAATTTTTTTGGCTGACATCAAATACCAGATGCAGATATATATTTTAAAAATTCTGCTACTACTGCTGATAATGATCAAGAACTTCATCTCTGTTTTTTTACGTGTGATGTTTTCACCATCTGTAATAATTGAGATTATTTTCAATAGTTAGATACAGGTTTGTTTAGATAAACTTGAACAAAATGTTTCTGGTATTTTTTTTACCTTTAAATAACAACTACTACTCTTTTAATCACTGTGATTTTAATCAGTGAATTACTAGGCTTTTTTTTCCCTCCTTCCCTGATGCTATGCGTCTATAATGGAATTTGTGTCTATATTAATCTCTGACTCAAGGGAGAGGGCAAAATGCTAAACTCAAAGGTAGAATCTTCTAATTAAGCATCAATACATCTATATAAAGTAGAATGACACTTGTAATATTGAATTTAGTTAAGTCTGGCAAAATCATATGAACACAGTTTGTTTTCTCTATTAAATTAGATTTGGTTTTAATAATTAGATATTTTTAACCAATTGAGATAAAGCAATAAAATTTCTATACATCTGTTATCTTATTTAAATTGGTTTTTAGAAGATACTCCTTTTGTTTAGGCCCTGTCTTTCCTGTCTTTCCAAGATGAGGAGTCTCTGAACTAAGATTGTATTCCATTTTGGACAGAGTGAAAAAAATGTTGTGGTTTTTTTTTTTCTTTTTAGCCCATTCTTTCAGATTTGATTTGGCAAACCCACATTAGATAATTTAGCAAAAGAGGAATCACATTCTTTATCCTATTATAGTAAAACCTCTCACTAATTCAGAATTTATTATACTTCAGATGCAGTATTTGTTATCTTCTTTGAGTAAAAAATTCAAAATAATTTCTTCCTCTGAATTTTCAGGGTCATACTTATAAGGGGAAACCTGTCTAAAATCACTAGCTTTTCAAACCAAGGGCTCAAGAAATGAAGGATTCCTTCAGCGTGCCTTCAGCCTCTGGGTCCAGCAATTAATTCTTGTATGTTAAAGGACTTTTATGTTTATGGTACATTTTTATGTAATATAGGCCTATTTTGAATTATAATGTAGGTAACCACATTTTATTTATTGTAGCCTTTAGTTTCATCCATAATCTGTACTGCTTGAAAGTATTAAAACTGAATTTTTACCCAAATATTCTATGATTAAGACCTTTTTAGTAAGTCATCTGAGCCAACCCATTCTGTGTTATTCCGAATTAGTGAGGTTTTACTGTCCTAGTGTTATAAAGAGTTTAAAGCTTTTTGAAATGATAGAAAGTTGTTTAGTTATAAAAAGAGAAGTCATAATTTAGGCTAATCTTGTCTTAACTGGATTATTACTAAAAGTTAGAAATATTAGATTAAAAAGAAAGGATAACATTGAATATAAAATGGTTTGATGTTATTCTGTCTGGCATTTTAAAGTGGTCAATAAAAATTCAGATTTAGTTAAAAATGTGTGTCTGTGGATCCACATGTGTATCTGCATATTATACACACTTGTTTAATGTTGCTATACCACAAGAGAGTGGTTTAGACTTATCAGCCTTTTGAAATTCCTTCCAGAACTAGATGTATTCCGTGTACAAGGAATTTGAATCTTGATGATATAGAGGTCATATTTTAGTGATGTGTAGTCTTAGATTAGGAAAAACAGAATTGCCTCCCTTATTTACACATTCCAAACTAAAGTTTTATATTCTGGAATGTGGTTTTTATTTTATGGTCAGAATGCCAGAATATTCAAAGTCAAATGTAAAAACTAGGTGGAGAGAAGAAGGCCTGAAGCAAGTTTAGGGGAGGAAATTATATAAAGAAGGGAGGAGGAAAGAAGAAATGAAACAGAAAGGTTTGGGTGAGAGTGGCATTGGGGGCCAGAAGAAGACCACAAAGTAGAATGGCTGAGGGGCAAAGTGGGGCAGGAAAGATGAGTAAGAGTCAGCCATTAGATTACAGTATATTGGATAAAGCTTGTTGGTCTTTATAAATTTTTTAAAGTTCAATTGAGTCTGTAGCAGTACTGATGGACAGGTTAGCCTTCTAAGATGTTTGGGAAATATAAGTCATTTGCAAGTTGACTAGGAATATTTTTTTAAATGGCTAGTACTAACACTATCACTGTTTAAAATAATTGTTAAATGACTTTGCATGCAGTTATTTTTAAGCAAACTAAAATTTCCCATGTAAACTATTTAGAATTTTGTTATGTGTGTAATTTTATGACCCATTTACATTGCATAACTGACTAGCTTAATAGGTTTTATCCATAACTAGATCTTATCTCTGTTTTTATTGATTTAGTGATATTTGCAAACAGAAGTATGTAGTATATCTTTTCAAAATTGCTTCTTTGCAGGTAGATTCTTGATCTATCCCTTCTAACAGCTGCAGATTCTTCTTGCTTGTTTCTCTTAACATTTTTCTCTTGTTCTTCCATAGTAAACTGATTTAAAATCTTATTTTGAAGATGAATAATGGCTTAATTACAAATTATAACACTTACAGATGGAAGTGGAGAACGAGGAGAAAAGGATGCAAGCAAAATCACAACATATCCTCCAGGCTCCGTGCGATTTGACTGTGAGCTCCGGGCGGTACAAGTCAGCTGTGGATTTCATCATTCAGGTAGCAGCTGGAACTTTAGGGTATAAATGCATTTTTACAATTGTGCTAAGTAACTTATTTGCTTAGTTTTGACAAATGTAGTCTATTAAGTGTGTGTTAAAAGCAGTAGTTTGGCAGTTTCTCTCAAATCTATAAAAACTTTGTATTTATTACAGACTCTCTTTTAAAATCTATCTTCTGAGGGACTTGTGTTATAATTCAATTAATGAAACTCCTGAAGATGAAATAATCTCTAAAATCTCTCTGGACTCTAGGAGCCTGTGTTGTTTATAACCTAATCCCATGTTTTGTTACTGTTCGATGAAAAATGTGTATCAACAAATTTCTTTATTTTTTTAAAATGTAGAAAATCATTAAATTCTTAGTGAATTATTGACATGTGACCTGTATTGCCTAGATTGTACTATTCAACCTTAATAAAAATAAAAAATGTTAAATTATTTCTTTGGTACTAAATATATTTCCTTATTTGATAAGGCATTGACAGATACTAAAGTTCTGACATTTCATTGATGTTGTGCATGATTGTACAAAGCTCAAATTCATCTGCTACCTATAATCATCCTAGATGTAAGAGAACAATATTTTCTGTGGAATTTTCTACTCATTATTAAAAAGGTTTTACAGTTGGTCCAAACCTATTCCTTATTAAATATTAATGTTATTAAAGGGCCTTTATAAAAATTTTAAATGTTTTAAGAAAAACATTATGCATTTTTATAACCTACAAAAATATTTTACAGAACTAAAATTATGTTATCTTACTAAATGTAAATTTTGATTCAGTTATCCATTTTTTTAAAGTTTTTACTTTAATCACATGGTGCTCATATGACAAGTGCACCTCTTAACCCCCATCACCTATTTCACCCATCCTTCCACCCACCTCTCCTCTGGTAGCTATCAGTTTGTTCTCTGGAGTTAAGAGTCTGTTTCTTGATTTCTCTCTCTCTCATTTCCCTTTGTTCATTTGTTTCTTAAATTCCACATGTGAGTGAAATCATATGGTATTTGTCTTTCTCTGACTGACTTATTTCGCTTAGCATTATACTCTTTAGCTCCATCCACGTTGTTGCAAATGGCAAGATTTCATTCTTTTTTATGGCTGAGTAATATTCCATTATATATGTATAGCACATATTCTTTATTCATCAGTTGATGTCAATTACCCATTTTTAATAGCTTTCTATTTTAGTGAATATTATACTGCTTTCAGTATTGTGATAACAATATAAAATGCATATAATGAAAAAACATAAAGCTCTGTATATTGGTTTCAGTGGTTTTAATGGAAAATGGAGATGTCTACACATTTGGATATGGGCAGCACGGGCAGCTAGGACATGGAGATGTCAATTCCAGGTACTCTTTTTGTTTGAAGATACGTTTTTTTTTAACTTTTCTTTTTTCTTTCTAAATATATATCTCTACACTTGAAATAGTATTTTTATACCACTGTTTTGCAAAATGTGGCCCATAAATTATCGGTGGATCTTGATTTTGTGGTTGAGTGCTTTTGTGGGGCTAAACGATTTTGTAGTTCCAGGAGAAAAGTTGATTTACATTTTATACATTTAAAATATCAGAGTGGCTATGATTATCACAAAATCCTAGTATATTTTTAATAATTATTATCTTTTTAAAAGTTGTTCATGACAATAGAAAAGGCAATGAATATCCCCAAAGTGCATTTAAAAAAATAAGCAATAGATGTATTCATATTCCTTGATGTTGTCTGTTTTGAAATCTTGGTCTAATATTAACATGAAGTCATTCAAGCGTTTGAATAATTTTCAAACAAAACCTGTGGTCTCTCAGAGAAACTGCTTTGGCTTACCCAGCATAGTGAAGAACTGATTGTGGTGGAGATTCCCAGATGTCACCTGATACTCATTTTTCCCTACTTCATTTGATAGTAGAGTTTTAGTTGGTGACATGACCATGCAGCTAAAGACTTCATTTGCCTACCTCCATTGCAGCAGGATATGGCCTTGTGAATTAAAGTGATTTGTGCAGCTTTGGAATCATGCTGTTAAAGGGAAGAGAGGGTACTCTTCCGTCTCTTGTTCTTCCCTCCCAGCTTGCTGCCTGGAGTCCATGTATGGTGGCAGGAGCTGGAGAAGTCATTATAGTGATCATAAATTGGAAGCCATGTATTAAGAAAAGCAGAGCTACAAGATAGAAATAGTCTCGGTTCCTGATAACATAGAACTGCCATATCAGCTCCTTACAGTAAAATAGATACTTACCTGAGAGAAATGAACTATCATGTTTAAGCCCCTATTACTTTGGCTTTCATTATAGCAGCTGAATCCATATTCTGCTTAATATAGTGAGAGATCTTTTGGTCAAAAGTGTAGAAAATCCATCTTTATTAGTTCAGGTCTTCCAAGAAGAAGTTGCTAAGACAGGATTAGATGTGCAAAGGGTTCATTGGGAGAAAACTCCGGTGGAGGATAAAAGGGGAAAGAGCAGAGAGAACTGTCAAACACACATATATAGGTCTGACCCCTGTGAAAGGAAAAGAGGGAAGAAGGATAGAGTAGGAAGTGTCTAGATTGAAGTGCAGTTCTGAGAGAGTTTCAGACAGGCATTGGGGTGTCCTCAAGCTGAGGTTGCCTTTGGAGGAGCCCCAGATTGGGCAGGAGGGCCCAGTATTATACCTTCTTCATGCTTAGACACAGGCTGGAAGCATCCCTGGGGAAGAATGGCCTCATGGAGCCAAAGGGACATCATCTGAGGCTGTCACTCAGCTGTGCTCCCTGGAGCAGGTTGTCAGAGATCTGAGTGATTCACGTACATGGCTGCCCCACCATTGAAACGAGGCTTATTGATCAAGTCTGGAGATAGATATATGGTACTTTCAGGCCAGACTTGACTTACCAATTTATTTTGCCAAAAGAACCTTCTTTCTTTTTTGAATCTTTACTCTGCCTCATTCTCCCTTGTGGTTATAAGGTATCTGCCAGAATCAACGGGACCTATATGGTTTCTCATTCACAATTAGTGAATTATGCTAGTCACTAAATAAAATCCAGGATTTTCATTTTATTTCTGAAATTACTCCATTACTGTGGCAAAGATGTGATTCTTGCTGTTTATATGGTAAAGCCCAGTGGTTCTTAATCCTGGCTGCACATTGGAATTACCTAGGGAACTTTAAAAATCCCATGCTTGTATCCTGCCTCTGTATTCTATACTCAGGAAGTGTGTGTTGGGAGGTGGGGGTAGGGTGGGAGGTGGATGGAGGTGGCAAGGGCAGTGCTGGATAGGATCAAGAGTTTTTTCTTAAGAGCTCTCCAGATTCTAATATGTATCAGGATTAAGAACCACTGTCTATCCTTAGAGAGCAAGGTCAGATCCATTTGCAGTGCACACAAAATGGATATGAAATGTAGTGTCCTTAGTTACTTTGATGAATGTTGTTGCTAATGAGAAGAGATGATTAAGGTATCATTGAGTTTAATTTCTCACTAAAAACACAAGTGTAACATATATTTGATACTCTTGTCAAAAGATCTGTAAAACTATCACAACTTTTTTTCTTTTATTTAATTCTAGTGTAGTCAGCATAAAAACTATCACAGTCTTAATGACAAATATTGTGCTTGGAAAGACAGCAAAAGGTCTTTGGCAGAATCAGTTCATCAAGTGTCACTGGATATAGCATTTGGATATTGGACATTGGACATGATAAAATATCAGTGCCTTGCAGGGTTGAACAGTTACTATCACAGGTGTTAGAAGGCAACAGATGTTTTGCTTTATAGTTGGATGACATCACTGATATGCAGAGACTGAGTCAGGGTTGTAACTTGACTGGGGAAGAACTCGGCAACTTTTCTGTTCTTTATTGGGTCTCATGACACAGAAGAAGACGGTTTGTCGTCATCATCATCATCATCATCATCGCTGTTATTGAACTGGTGTTTATTTTGTAGTCATGATATAAGCTGAGAAGGGTGCATTATAGTTAGACATGATGGACCATCAATCATGTGCAGCAGGATGGCATTTCTTCACAAGTCATACTTTATACTTGGATGCCATTCCACAGCAAATAATTGGCAAATAGCTGTATTTCATGGTCTTGACTGAGTGGGAGGGAAACAGTGAAAATCATGATTATAATCAAGTCACAGCCCTCAAGTAACTGTGAAATATGTAGAAGGAACCGCATAAGCACAAGATTCTGCTACACTACATTGAGGTGTAATGGTTGTTGAAAGAGAAGGTGTTCTTGTCAGCTTTTAAAATGAGAGGTTACCTAAAAACATTGTCTTGTAGACCTGATTTTATCAGTGAGCACCATCCCTTGATTTTCAGTGACTTGCTCAGGTGATAATATTATAGCAGTTTGCTGAGTATTTTTGAATAGCTTGAATTTATCATCTTCACAAAAATATGATAGGTTTAAGTGTTGACAAAATATCAGAGTTTCTTAAGACTGATGGAGTTTGCTTTCACTGCTCAAAATGGTTCTTTCCCCACAGGTACATTTTCATTCCTGGCTCCATTGATTGAGTTGTAACTGGAAGGTTGTAACATGTGGTGTGGGAAGAGCTAAACTGGGTAACCCAGTGAAACAATGCCTACACACTGTGCCTGGTGTGTTAAACAGAAATTAGTCAAAACTTTCTATTGTAACCACTCTAGTTACCCTGTTTGTCTGGGCCCATGTGGGACTTGGAAGACAGGACACAATACCTGTGGTATTGATTCAGAGATGAATTAGCCACTTCTATGGAGGAACAGTCCCAGGAGGAACAGAGCCCCTGTAGCATACATGTTAACTACCACAAAGAAAACATTTATAGGTATTTAGTTGAAATAAAGTACATAGTTGGGGGTTATTTTTTAAAGTTTATAGTAATCAAGTTCTTTTAACTGGAATTTATTGTATAGCACACATTGATTATGTGTGGTTAAAGCAAAGTAAATATTGTAGTGTGCATTGTGGTAAAGATTAATAAAAATGTTATTGATAGTCTCTTTATTTAATGTGTTGTCTTGGCAGAATGACTGAGTTCATTCTCCAGTTTGGGTCCTGATTCTATCACTTGGTGCCTATATGACTGTGGCCACGTTTCTTAACTTCCTTTGTCTCAATTTCTTCTCTGTTTAATTGGAGTAAGTACATTTCCTTCAGAAGGTTGTTGTGAGAATTCAGGAGGATAATGCCTGTCACTTAGTATAGGGCCTAGTCCATAGTAGGTGCTCAGTGCTGTTAGCTGCTGCTTTTTAAAGTGAATGTCAGAAAGTTTGTGAGAGCTTTTCTATATTCACCCCTGCCATGAGTCTACTAACCCTCTTTTTAGTTTATTTTGTTCAGTATGCTTCTAAATGTCTGAATTCTGTATTCTTTTTAAACCATTTACAGTAAACTTAAACCTGGATATTTGCAAAGAGATTATATAGTTTAGATACTTTAATTCTCTGTTTTCCAGTAGAATTTTGATCATTCTTACAGTATTTTTGAGTTTCATCTTTTTCTTGCTATCCTGACTGCATTCTGCATTAGTATATTTATTACCCAATCATAGTATCTGGAACCATTTAGACAAGGTTGAAATCTTCATCTCCTACCAACTATGTGACTGACTGCAGTTTACTAGACCTTAGTTTAAATATCCCATAGGATTGTGGAAGAATCAATTCAGTGTATGTGAAATGCCTAGTGTGCACACATGGATGTAAACATACACATGTGATTTTTCTTTTCTGTTCTTGTGTTTTCAAAACAATAAATGGGCTCACTAATATTATGGAAAGAGTTCAAAGACTATGTATTAGAAGGTCTGCTACCAGCTCTTGGGAAGATGCTTTGAGCTCTTCAGATCTACCTGTAGAGTTATTTTGATAATCAGTTATACAGTTTATGTGAAAGTGCTTTGCAAAATTGCAGATAAGTTAACAGATATAAGAACGTCCCCTTCATTCTTTGTTAGTGGACATTTCTGTTAGAGAGCATTAGTTCACCGTATAACCCTTTGAATGGACAGTTAGTTGTCTTTTTGGCAAAAGTCTCTATAGCTCAGAGTTGAAAACGATTTACCTTTCACTACTATTCTTGGCCATGTTACTCCATCCTCAAGTCAAAAAACTACCGCTCTTTTGAGGCAAGATCATTCTGTTGTACTCCCTTTTATTACCTACCGTTCAGTCATTGCCTTTCATTCACTGAAAATTTAGTATCTGGTTCACAGTGTTTTCTGTCTCTGAGTCTTGTCCCATTCATGAGTGACTTCAGTATCCGTGAGAATGGTCCCATACACTATACCTATCTTGGCACCTTGTATCTAGTAAACTTTACTTCCACATTCATGGTGGTTATTTCCAAGACCCATCTTGGATCAAGCATAGCTCCAACTCTAAATTCCTAAGTTTATAAAAAGCTCATAGTCTGATGATAGCTTTACTTTACTTGGCCTTTGACTTTATCAGTACTTCATTCCCCACTACACTCTACATTTTTACTCTCTCTGACCTTTTTTACTTTATTTTCTACCCAACTTAGAGATTGTTATGGATTCTTTTCACCTATACTCTTACCAGCAACCTCAGTTTTTTTGCCCTCTTGGTCTTGATAATAGGGCATGGCAACACTTCCTGCATGAATCAATCTATCCATATTTTCCATATCTAACTTAGACTTCTGGAAAAAAGTAAATCACCATATATGTGCAGATTGTTAAATGATTTCCAGATTCAACCAGGTCTTCTACAATGGGCAGTAATTGTTCTGTTTTGTGGTTTGGGACTATTTGGTTTCACATCTCTTGAATTTGATGAAAGATATGGGATCTCTCTTCAGAACAGTAGGTATAAGAACATATACATAAAAGTTGGCTTATGGGGCACCTGAGTGGCTCAGTCAGTTAAGTGCCCGACTTCGGCTCAGGTCATGATCTCATGGTTTGTGAGTTCAAGCCCCGCACCAGGCTCTGTGCTGACAGCTCAGAGCCTGGAGTCTGCTTTGGATTCTGTGTCTCCCTCACTGTCTCTCCTCCTCCTCCTCTGCTCGCATTCTGTTTCTATGTCTCTCAAAAAAAAAAAAACGTTAAGGAAAAAAAAAAAAAAGTTGGCTTATAAATTTAGGAGGTTCACGGATGTCCTGAAGTTCACTCATAGGCTTTCTAGAAATCCTTTGGATCTGAGTTAAAACTCCTGGTCTAGATATTTATTTGTTCCCTTTACCATCCCTTTTTTGTAATCTTCATATTCTCTGCTTACCCATTTCCGTCTTCTCTCAGCATGTGACTTCTGTTCACATCACTACAAAAATAAAAACCATTAGGTGGAAAATTCTTTAGCCCACCAACTCTACACACCTACCTGCATCCATACTATTTCTTTGCTCCTTTTCATGTTACTTTGAAAGAAGGACCTGTTCTTGTCCATGCTATGAAGCCTTTACCCTAGGGATCTAGTTCTGTTTCATTTCTCCTGTCTAAACTGTATCTTTAGCCTTTTTATCTTTACTCACTCTTGTAAACTTAAACGAATTTCTGTCTTCTTAAAAGGAACAAAGCCTCATTGAGCTTCATTTCCTCTTTAGCTGTTGGTTCTCCTTTCTTTTTTCTGTTTTGGGGCAGAGATTCTTGAAGACGCTTTGCATAGTCTCTGGCCCCACTGTTAATGCCTCATCTGCTGTAGTGTTGTGCCTATTTCCACCAGAGACTTTTTCCTTGCTAAATCCCATGGTCACTTGTATGTGTCTCTGGAGTGTTTAGCATGTACATTATATCCCCCTTCTTGAAACTTTCTCCTCCAGTGACGGTCTTCGTGCCACATTTTCCCAGAGTTCATGCTTCCTCTTTGTTATGTCCTAGATTGCTGTGAGCTCTTCTTCCTCTGTCCGTCCATACCTGAAGTGTTGGAAAAAACTCATGATGAAAATTAGGATCTCTTCTTTGCTCTAATTGTCTTCCTAGATCTCTCATTCATTTTCATAGCTTGAGTGAATGTTACCACCATCTACCTTGCTGCTTAAGCAAAAACCTTCCTGCCAAGTCTAGTCAGTTCCGTTCCTTACACAGCTATCATACTCATTTATTTCTTTGAATCCACACTGTTTTTAGTTCAGGCCTTTATCATAACTCATCCAGATTATTGTGAAATTTTCATAACTAGGTTTCCAGGTGCTAGTCTCGCCCTTTCCAACTCCGTTTTCATTGGAGCCTGAGTAACCATTAAAAAATATACTTTATGTAATTTTTAAAAAATTTGAAGTATCATAATTGTCTGAAACAAAGTTCCTATTATGTGTCAACTGTTTCTACAGTGATTATTCTAATTACAGATAATGATTACTAAAAATGGTGAATAAATGGTTAGTAAAGTGATACAAGGATGGGGACAAGGATGGATACAGTGGATATGAGGGTTGTCATTTATTCAGTGTTAACTGTGTGCTGGACACTGAGCCAAGCACTTGATGTATATAAACTTCTTTATTGTTCGTAGGAAGCCTATGGGGTAGGTACTAGTTAGTACTATCCTCCATGTTATAGAAGAGAAAACTGAAACACAAAAAAGATGAGTAACTTGCTTAAAGTCATGGTCACAATGCTGTTGGAGCCAGGGTTCATACCCTGGCCATCTCATCTAGCTCTAGAGTTTAAGCTTCTAGCCACTGTTGTAGTGCCTCTCATCGTATCCCACTCTGATTTCATTAACTACTGTATTAAAATCTAAAATTATAGCTCAGTAAAAAAAAGGTAGGAAAAAGAGTATAAAATTGATTGTTTTGTATAGTTCCTGTTAAAGCTGTGTATGATTTTTATTTCATCCAACAAATATTTATAACATGACTTTTGCTATAAAAGCAAAAGTAGCACCAGTCTTTGAAAAAAGACAGAGATTGTGTGTCCATAATTAGAGTAATAAATTTAGGAAATCTTTTTAATAATCTCTATGAAGTCAGTGATAACCTCTTTTACATCTTTGTGGATCTAGGTGGAAACAGGCATATAGTACCTCAATAAGTATTTAGTAAATATACTATTAGTGCCTTTTATGTCTTCGATTCCTTATTGCAATGTTTATTTATTGCTTTTTATTTCAGTTGAGGCCTGTAAGAAATTGACTTAATTTTTTTTTTTTTTTAACCTAGGGGATGTCCCACCCTTGTTCAAGCACTGCCAGGCCCTAGCACACAAGTTACTGCAGGCAGCAACCACACGGCAGTACTTTTAATGGATGGACAGGTCTTCACATTTGGAAGTTTTTCTGTAAGGAATTTTTTAAGCATTAATAGTATCGCATTGTACCATTGCCTTACAATTTGTCTGTGTTAGCTGTTTTTTCTGGTTTCAGTGAAATTCTTGTGTTATAATTATTGCATATGCATATTTCCTGTCTCTACATCTAGCACACACAAGACCTGAATGACATTACTTTGAAATAACTTTCTTCTCCAGGATAGCATTAGAATTTATTAAATTTAACAATGTATTAGAGTTGGACATGCTTATTCCAGGTCAAAATTCTTTAAACATTCAGTAGAGCTAATTCTATCATTTGGAAGCGTATTTCCCAACTAGCTTGCACAGACTGATTTTTCTTAACCTATAGAACTGTTTCTAACTTAGCACTTCTTAAAGGCCTAGTTTTCTTAATAGATTTATTTAAAATTATAGTTTCCTTTTTCCTCTCCTTCTCTCTCTCTATCTCTCTGTTTCCCTCTGTTTGCCTGTTTGTTTCTCTCTTTTTGCCAAAACTTCAAAAGAGTAAAAAATGCTCTGAGAGTTTTGTATAGTTTGGTCATAATAGAGATCAAGGAAAAACCTCATAAGACTTTAAGCCTCATAAAACCTATACCATCTCTGTCATGGGTAACTGTTTACAACTCTACAACCTAAATTTCTGGGTTGGAATTTGCAGCTATTGATTTTTCAAAAATGTGAATGTGAACTTTAAGAAAAAATCTTTTCGGGCACCTGGGTGGCTCAGTCGGTTAAGTATCTGACTTAGGTCATGATCTCACGGTTCATGAATTTGAGCCCCTCATTGGACTCTCTGCTGTCAGCATGGAGCCTGCTTGGGATTCTTTCTCTCCCTCTCTCTGCCCCTGCCATGCTCTCTCACTTGCTCTTTCTCTCAAATAAACTTGAAAAAAAAAAAAAGAATCTTTTATTTGGAAATAATTTTAAACTTCAGAAAGGTTGCAAAAAGTAAGAGTAGTACATAGAACACCCATATACCCTTGAGCCAGATTCATCTATTGGTAACATTTTGATTTGCTTTATAACTTTTACATACATGCTCTTATTGTCCCTTACACACTCTGTGGGTGTGTGTGTAAAAGTTTTTTTTCCTGAATCCTTTAAGAATAACTTTACATATATTGTGACCCTTTACTCTTGAATACTTCAGTTTATATTTTTTTGATTGATCCAGTAATTACTTTTTGACTTTCTTTTTGTCTCCTCTAATCTGTGATCAGTCATTGCATCTGATTATCATGTCTCATTAGTCTCCTTTAATCTGTACCACACCCACACCTTTTCTTTGTCTATTATGATGACATTGATGTTTTTGAAGAGTATAGTACTTTTTTTTTTTTTCGTAATAAAATGAGCCTCATTTTTGTTTCTCTGCTATTTTCTCATGTTTAGATTTCAGGTTGTGCATTCCAAGCCAAAATACTATGTAAGTGATGTTGTGTTCTTCTCAGGTATCACGTCTGGAGGCACAAAATACCCACCTGCCCTTCATTGGTGATGCAATTTTTGATTACCTGGAAAATGTTTAATTTCTCTACTGCATAATTAGTATTTTTTCCCTTGAAATTAATAAGGAATTTATGGGTTGATTCAATTAAGTGAGTCCTATTAAAAAGACAGTTGTAGGGTACCTGCTTTTCATGCAGTTTCCCCCTAGATTTAGCATCCCATTCTTGCCTAGACCATTCTTTACTATAACGGTTACAAAAAGATGATTTTCTAATTCCAGCACGCCATCACATTTACCAATTGGCCCTTTGCATTTTAGTGTAAGCAAGAGCCCATCTTATTTGTTTCATACAGATGCATGTATTTGTATTTTTTTCATTACTGTCCTTAATTATTTGGTTGCTTCGATTGTCTCGTATTTCATCGATTCAAGTCCCTTCAAGCTGGCTCCTGTGTTCTTGTGACATGCCCCTTCATTTTTGGGAGCATTTCCTTATTTCCTGGCATAACAAGATGTTTCAGGCTTACCTGTAAGCCTAGAATCAGCCATTTCTCTGAGAATGCAGGTTTGTTTTAGTGGGGAATAGGATTAGACACCCAGTTGAGCACTAGGTATATTTATTGCTATGGGGTGTCTTTATATCCCCAGTACACATATATGTACATATATCTATACATGTAAGTATTTTAGAAATCATAAGCCCATACCAGTCAGTACCTCTAATTCCATTTCATCCCTATAGGGGTCTTTCTTACCTTGACCCATTCCATGTTTGTTTTGTTTCCTTTTTCCACAGTAAGAATTTTGGCTTCTAACAATATCAATACATTTATTTCTCATTCAGTCAGTCCTAAAATATGGGTAAAATAGTTTTATATTTGATTTTCCCCTCACCACTATAAACACAAACTCACTGAAAGGAGTTCAGGATTTTCTGTCCCTCTCGCTCCTGCCCCCTTTTACCTGTGTCCCTCCCCAAAGCTAAAGGTATAAAGTCAAGTATTGTGTTTATAAGTCACGTGGGTTTTTCTTCTTACCCCAGTTCAGTGGAATTATGTTATTCCTTTGGAATAGAATTGGATTCATTTGCTTCAGTTTGCTTTTTGTTTCATTTTAAAAAATAGTTAATATTAATAAGAATAGGTACAAATAACAGATTCTTTGTGAAGAGCAGCAACAGCCAAGGATTACCCTTCTTCCCCTTGTTTCTGAAAACAAGCCCTTTTTCAGATCCATTTGTCTCACCCTGTCCTGGGGCAGGGGTTCATCTCTGTAAAGTGAGTAAGATCTGATGTCAGGGGCTAAGGGACAAAGAGAGATGACCTTTCAGCATGGAGGAGATCACTTCGTCCTCAAACAATGAATGAGGCTCCCGAGGGGTGTCAGCAGTAGTAGAAAAGGGGCAGATGCAGAAGACTGTTACACAGTGGCCTCCTTCTTCTCCCTGTGGTAACAGGCCCCCTAGCCCTTCCTGGGAACACACAGGTTAAAATGCTGACGCCTGACATGTCATGCCCCCTTTGAGCTCTCAGACTTCCAAGGAGAGAGGCTTGTGGCCCAATGCACTGTTTCAATTTGTTTTAGTTTTAGGATCCCTCTTCTCATATCCTTAGGTGTAATTTTATTTTTTGAATATGTAGAACATTGACATGTTTCTAAAAGTTAAGTTATGCAAAAATAGTATATACTCTGTCAAATGTCATTTCCCCCCTATCCGTTTTACTCCATGCTTGTAAGTAATAAACTTCATTGTTTTCCAGTTTATCCTTCCTGAGTTTCTTGTAGGATTAATAAATAAATAAGTACACACATATACTGTCTACATCTGCATTGTATAGATACAGGTTTGTGTGCATATATGTATGCATATGTATGTAACACATGTATCTATAATTATTTCCCCTTCTTTATTTTTCAAAAGGTAGCATTTTATGTATGCTCTTCTGCACTTTGCCCTTTTTATTGTACTGTATTTCCTGGAAATCACTCCATGTTCGTAGAGATCTTCCTTATTCTTTTTTTTTATTTCTGCATAGTACATTGTACATATATACTATATTTTATTCAGTCAGTTTCTTATGCTTGGACATTTAAGTGCTTTCCAATATTTTGCAACAAAACAATAAATACTGTTAGAGGTGTATCTTTGAGGTAAATTTCTAGAAGTAAGGTTGCTGGGTTGAAGGTTAGTGCCTGTGTAGTTTTGTGAGATATTAACAACTCCCTTCTGTTTTGTATTCTTGCCAGCAATGGATGAGAATACCTGTTTCTCCACAGCTTTGCCAACACAATGCACTGTCATGCCTTTTAATTCGTGACAGTCTGATGGGTGAGAAGTGGCCCTGCACACTTTGAAGCCTTTTTCCTGTAGCTGGTGCTGTGAACCTTCAAGCCCTTAACCTACATTTAGTGTTTTGACATTAAGGGTTAGGTTTTCTCTTTGGGTAGATGATTTTACCAGTGCTTTTTCCTAGTCCTCTGTACTCCTCTCTTCTTCTCAAGCCACCCCTTTTGCAGGCTTCACCCCCTCCAACTTGCAGTGGCAGGTGGGTGGAGAAAATGGTTGGAATTTGTTTTATTCCTCTGGTTACAGGTGACTTAAAGGTCAGCAGATCTGCTAATTCCTAATACTGCTGAAGGCTTGAGTGATGTGTGGTTTTCTTTGCCCTGTGTATTGGTTTTTATATAGTTTTGCGGGGGAGGGGGGATTGTGAATGTTAATATTTGAAATCAGACAACCATTATTGTCCTCTACCCCTAGAAGTTCTAGTTGTGAACTTTCATGAATTTAAATATGGTTTATGTGTAGCCATATTCTGAATGCCTGGGGTTGTCCAGGCATCTGTTGTATTTTTACACTGCTTTTCTTTACATTAGTTGGTTGATAGTAAGGGAGTAGATACTTATTTCGGTAGTTAATGACAAATAGAATTATTTTTCTTCTGAAAGCATAATGTCCTTGAATATGATATATTTTGCTCACTGTTCACATTCTTACGGGGTTTTTCTTGTTTGTTCTGGTTTTTTTTGTTTTTTTGTCAAAAAATAAGAACAGACATTGAAAGAAGCTGAGAATAAACATCAGGGGTTTTTTGGCTTCTCTGTTCCTGTGCTTGCCACTTTTCCCTCCCCTGGCTCAGCCCAGGGATTGAAGTTCTGTTGCTTTTGCAGTCACTTTGTGGCTGTGGTTTCTTGCTATGATGTTGGAGTGATAGAACTCACTAGAAACCTAATAGTTGGGGTGAGAATTAACCAGGCTGTTTATAGTGCTCCAGACTCCCTTGTTCTTCAGCTTTTTTGCTAATGGTTTCTCATTCCCATTACTTACAGACAATGATGCGCTGGAAGTCAAGATCCAGCATTTTCCACCCTCCAGAGGGTTTTTGGAAGGGAAGTTTTTGTGGGGGGAGGGCGAGCTCCTGAGCCTGGGGTGGATGAATGTTTACCTATCCACCATCAGCATTCTTTTATAGCTACTAGCTTAGTGGAGAAAGGCTTCCTCTTATTTTTTAAATTAAACTCTTACCTAACCTAGTACCTGTGGACAGCCATAGTTTTAAATAAGTTAACAATTATTTACTTAAGATACCATTCCTTAACATTGTTTCTGCTGTTTATCTTGAAACATAAATGAAATAACTTACTAACACATGATCATGTGAACATACTTAATTTTCAAATTGTATTCACAAGTTGTAGTATTCATTATTTTGGCCTTTACTCAAATATTTTCAGACTGTGATTTTAATAGTGACTTTCATTGTATACTGTCAATATCACAGTGATTTTTTTCAAAGTGAATTTTTTAAATGAACAATTTGTAATACTAATTTTTTTTAACATGTTGTATATTGTACTTTCCATTTAAATGTAGGTAAAGACAATATTTCAGGGAGATTTCTTGCATGGAAAATATTTAGCTTTATTATTGTTTTTTAATAATGCATTTTGTGGCTTATTAGGAGCAGAGTTTCTAAGAATAATAGAAATTATTTTATTTCTATATAAATTTTGGTCCAAATTTCACATGAATGTCATTAATAAGTAAAAGTACTAACAGTAAATAAAGAATAATTTTTCATAGAGCTATTTTTGTCTACTGTCTTCTTAATTTTATAAAAAATCAGATATTTTTTTATCCAATAATGTTGTTATTATGGTTTATTTAATTTTTTAGAAAGGACAACTTGGCAGACCAATTTTGGATGTGCCATACTGGAATGCAAAACCAGCTCCCATGCCTAACATTGGATCAAAATATGGAAGAAAAGCTACCTGGATAGGTGCAAGTGGGGACCAGACATTCTTACGAATTGATGAAGCACTTATTAATTCTCATGTACTTGCTACATCAGAAATTTTTGCCAGTAAACACATAATAGGTAATATCCCTAAAAAACGTCCTTCCCAAAATCATTTTCTTGATTGATAGTAAATGATTCATCATCTTTCCTTATCATTAGATAAGTCTTAGAGCTTTTTGTTTTCTTTCTGTTTGAAGAAATTTTAAAGAAGCTTCTAAGTGTCTGTGTTTATATGAGTATTTATAAGCTAGGGAGTCGTGGAAATATGAACCAAATTGAAGTAGGATAAACCCTGTGTTGGAAGGAGGAATTTTTGTATATTAGTTCTGGTTAGGTAAATGGTAGAAATTAATTTTTATGAAAGGTATGTAAGTCAAACTTTGAAGTTCCATCTGTAGGTATCAATCTATACTTGTGTCTGTGATACCATAAATAATTATATAATAGGGGAATATAGATTTTAAGAGCATGTGTTGTGGATTTAGAACACCTGAGGTTTTAGTCCTAATTCTATTACTTAAAAATGTTTAGTTAATCTATTTAAATCTCAGTTTTGTCTCATCTGTGAAATGGACGTAATAATAATACTTACCTTATAAGTAATACTTAATTTCTAAGCTGAGGGTATGTAAAAGGGTAATGCATTTTTAAGATGTATAAATATCTTTCCTTAAGGCTTGGTACCTGCTTCTATGTCAGAACCTCCTCCATTTAAATGTCTTCTGATCAATAAAGTGGATGGGAGTTGTAAAACTTTTAATGACTCTGAACAAGAGGATCTGCAAGGATTCGGTGTGTGTCTTGACCCTGTGTATGATGTCATTTGGAGGTAAGCTCTGTTTATAAAATAGAGTGGTGAATAAGTTTTGATCAAATTATACTTTTGTGGTGATGTAAAATTCATGTATAAGCAGACTTTACATACATGAGTACTTTCCTATTTAACTGTGCTTCCTGGGACCTTTACAGTGTAGTGCAGTGATTAAGGCAGCCAGGCTGCCTCAGTTTATCCCACATCCACAATTTGCTTTCTGTGGCAACTTGGAATAGTTATCATGGCTCTATGTGCTTCACTTCTGTCATTTATAAATTTGGAATGATAGGGGCGCCTGGGTGGCTCAGTCGGTTGAGCATCCGACTTCAGCTCAGGTCACGATCTCGCGGTCCGTGAGTTCGAGCCCCGCGTCGGGCTCTGGGCTGATGGCTCAGAGCCTGGAGCCTGCTTCCGATTCTGTGTCTCCCTCTCTCTCTGCCCCTCCCCCGTTCATGCTCTGTCTCTCTGTCTCAAAAATAAATAAATGTTAAAAAAAAATTTTTTTTTTTTAAAAAAATAAATTTGGAATGATAATAGTACCTACCTCATAGATTGTTAGGAGGAGTGAAGAATTTAGAGCTGAGGCACATGGTAGGTGCTATAGAATTGTTTGCCACTGTCATTATATTAAGCACTTTTACTTTTAAGAATTCTGTTATTATTTTTGGTCTTTCAGCAATCATATCTAAACTGCGTAGAGCTCATTCTTTTTTCATAAATATTGAATTATTACCGACTATGTAGAAGAAACTGTGCCAAACATAGTACAGAATAATTAAGGTAAATAAACTCGCCCTTTATGAATGCACATAACAGAATCCCCAAATTGGTAGAGAAATGTCGAAATGTATAGGGCTACCAAACTCTGGAAACTGTAAAAATGTAGAGAATGGATACAGATACACTAGAGACTCAAATTATATTGTATTTGTTTAAAATTTATTATGGTGCTTTATATACATAATGAGTGAAGAAAAGTGTTGTCCCTTTCAGCAACTCTAGGTTTGAATACTAGTAGGAGGTGTCCCCTGCATTACCAGAGTGACTTATCACAGGACTTACCTCCCCCGCCCCAATCCCTTGCATTGTTTATTTGGCCAACATCAGTGGACAGGAATTAGATAAATTGAAAGGTTTAAGTAGCACCAGTAAGGAAAGGCAAAAGGCTTTTTCTGTCTTCCTTCCTCTGCACGTGCCTGCTTTCATTTCTATCAGCCAGCCACGTCTTAAGAGGCCATGCTATCATTCCTAAGGCTGCATTCAGAGTGAAGTAATTATATTGCTTCCCAGGTTGCTGACCAGCATAAGTATCTTACTCGGACACTTTGTGAGAAGGTCTGGAAGCCAGAATTGAGTAGTGCTTTTCATTCTCCTTGGCAGCATTACATAGGATAGATTAGATAATGAAAGACTGCAGGTAAGTAGTCTTATAGTAAATCTTACGGAGACATGAAATACTAGGAATCAAAATTAGAATGGTCATGTGGGATAGCATGGAGGGTATAGAAAGGCACATGGTGTAAAGATAGACTAGTCATTAGTTATTTACTGATTACAAGTCCATACACAAGAGACTTAGTTACCAAAGAGCAAGCATTGGTTTGGACCTAGGGTGTTTTATTTTCTAGAATCTTTATAGAATATGTATAACTTTTATATGTTTTATTTTTAAATGAAGTAAATTTGCATTAGCAAAATAAAAGTTGACAGGGTGGAATTTGTTTATGGATACATTCACTAAATTAGAAATGCATTCTCTACATTAGTTAATAGCAGAACTGGATTCTAATAGTATAACTAGAGCCATTTCCTAGAGTCTTAACAGAACTCAGAAGTGTGGTAGGCAGTTAGTTGAACCTTGCCTTTTTCACATATGGTGATAACATTGGGAGAGATGATCTCAAATGTCTCCACAGTCCTTGACCATTTACCCCTTTGTTCCAGAACAAAGATTGAGAGATGAAGAGCAGTCATTCCTCCAGTGTTTCACTAAAACAGCTGGAGGGTGTTTTCTTGTAATCAGAATTAGAGTTTTTATTCTGTTATCCTGACTTCAGGCTATTTTATGTCCTTTGTGTTTTTCACTAGGGTACTTGCATTTTACAGCTGTCATAGGTACTGCAGATTCAGTATTAGCTTACTTTGACTTTCCTTCCATCCAGAATGCTTCTTTTTGTAGTCTTAACAGAGAATTTCTCCTGTATAATTAGAAACTTAACACCTATAAAAAGCAGATGAATGTTAAGAATAGCAATTTTATTTCCCACTTCAAATATATATACAATTAATACATGAATATGTGTTTTCATTTTTAAAAAAATTTTTTAACGTTTGTTCATTTATTTTTTTAATACGAAATGTATTGTCAAATTGGTTTCCATACAACACCCAGTGCTCATCCCAACAGGTGCCCTCAATGCCCATCACCCACTTTCCCCTCCCTCCCACCCCCCCCATCAACCCTCAGTTTATTCTCAGTTTTTAAGAGTCTCTTATGCT